GGACAGGGAGATGTTCCCTGGCTCCTGGCTCAGCCTGCCTGTGCTGGGTTTATTTTTAAAGGCCTCCAGAGGCCTCTGGCTGCTCAGGAAAGTTTTTAAGTGCTCAGATTGCTCAGCAGAAGGAGCAGACACGAGAGGAGGTGATTACATTAAGCCTGATCAACACCAGAGCAGGTATTAGCACATTTCATGGATTCCATTTCCAATAAATCAGCCTGTCGTGCACGTGGGGAGCAAAGACACAGAAATGAAGGATGACTGAGCCCCAGAGCCGGCCAGGACTCATCTGTGCAGCCTCACTTGGGATCCAGTCCTCAATTTCCCTCTCCCTGGGACGCAGCCCTGCTTTGGGAGGAGCAGCAGGGCTGGCACAGGAGCAGGAGGAGCTCCCTGAGGAGCTGGGGGTCCCAGGGGTCCCCAGCCCGGAGCCCCCAGCAGAGGGAATGGCAAAGGAGGGAAAGGATCCATCCAAGGACAGCATCAGGAAGGAGATCAGCTCCCAGAGGCTCGTGCTCCACAAACGTGGGGATTTGTGGCATTTGCCATCCAGACACCAAGTGCTCAAACTGTTTTCTTCTCGTTTAGAGGGTTTTTTTTAGTGGGCTTTATGTCAGAAGTGCTCGAGGGATGGTGAGATCCTTCCCATGGAAGCAGCCTACATATCCTCTTAGCACTAATCTCCTTGTAGAGCTGAAATTCCCTTTTAGCTGCAGTGCCAGGAGGTGAGTGCCCAGGAACAGCAGGCTGGCAGCTCTGGGGCCATTCTCAAGCCCCAGATGAGGCTGGGCAGGGCCAGTGCAGCTCACCAGGGCCCACTGGTGAGCACTAACATTGAGGTAAAAAGGAAGAATTTTGGGTGTCAGAGCTGACACCACAGCGTGCTGCAGCTTCCCTGAATGCCTTCCAAGAGCAAACTGAATGGTGGCTGGCACCAAAGCCTTGCCAACCTGGCATCCCTGCTCAGGGAGCTCAGCTCTCTTCACTGCAGCCAAACTCCTCTGCTGCAGACCCAGATTCTGTTTGCCTGCTCAGCCCAGGGTGCAGGGCCCAGCTTGAGAACCCTTTCCCTCAGCCCTGCTCCCAAAACCCCAAATGCCTGCGAGCTGGCCCAGCCCTGGCCAGCAGCTCTGCACATCTGGGGCCATTTCCCACCCGGGCTGCCCTGGGGCTCCTGCTCAGGGGGAGGATGAGGAGGGAGAGGTGGCAGAGGGGGCATTCTCTGAGCATCAGCCACCTCCTGGCACTGCCGCCCCCGAGCCTGCTGGGGGAGATGGAACAGGAAAGCCTTATCAATACGATTGCCTGGCGAAAGATTCTGAGAATATGGAAACTGTAAGTGAAATTGAAATGAAAGCAAGCTTTGAGATCCCTCAGTTACTGAACAACTGGAAAACAATGGTGTGGCCACTGAAGGTGATCCCCTTTTGATGGAACAACACCCTCTGCTTGCAGACAGGCCCAAGGCTCAGAGCAGACCCTACAGCTTGGCAGAAGGGCCCAAAGAGGAGTTTTTAGGGTTTAAAATGTAACACAGTATGGTAATGTAATGATTCTTATAGGCTGCATGGAAACGCTGTAGAATTTGTGTATTGTACCAGATTGGTTAGTGAGAATCAGAATATTCAACACAGAAGAAGATTTATGATATTGTAACGGGAACCTTACTCTCTTACCCTTTTACTCTCTTACCCTCTCATCCCCTCTACCCCTCTCTTCTCTCAGGTCTGCTGTCTTGGCTTTCAGACCCCATTTTGATTTCCTCTCAGGCAAATCCTCATATAAAGACAGTGTTTGCAATATGTGCTCTTCCTCCCTCTGCTCCCAGTGCTTTAGTGCAGCATCATCTCAGCTCTAGGGCTCCCCAGGAGCTCCCTGGGGAACGTTCCAGGCCAGGCTCCAGCGCAGTCAGACATCCCAGCAGGAGCCAGCAGGGCCTGCTGGAGCTGTTACCTCATCAAGAGCATTGGTAATAAGAAAAATGGAACTGATTTTTTTTTTTTAGGCCACTTCTAAAAATACATCTGGGAATGTTCATCTTCCAAAACAACAGCCACAAAAAATCCATAACCTGCCTAAGCTGTGTTCCCAGAGGAGTCTGTTAATTCTGTGCTCAGGAAGGCAGATTCCTCAGTGTGCCACTCCAGCTGTGCTCTGGCTCTGGCACACTCAGTTATTCCTGCACCTGGGGACCACAGCACCAGCTGGGAGTGGCACCCGAAGCAGGGCAGCAGTGGGCACAGCATTGAGCAGTATTGATCAGTATTAAACAGCATTGAACAGTATTGAGCAGTATTGAACAGTATTGATCAGTATTGAACGGTATTGAACAGTATTGAGCAGTATTGATCAGTATTGAACAGTATTGATCAGTATTGAGCAGTATTGATCAGTATTGAACAGTATTGATCAGTATTGAACGGTATTGAACAGTATTGATCAGTATTGAACAGTATTTACAATATTTCACGGTATTTCACAGTGTTTAATGCTGGGCTGTGTTTAACTGCAATGCTTCCACCAGGGCTGAACTGGATCCCCTCGAGGGCCACAAGCAATGTCCTGGCAGGATCTGGCAGTGTCCTGGCAGGATGTTCTGCCCCCCGTTTCCTCTCCTGAGCAGCAATTCAAGCCATGCACATTGATATTTCCTCTCAGATTTAGGCACTGCAGACACCTCACATCCCCTGCCTGTGCTTTGTGCACCTCTTTCCCTTTGCGGACAAGGGAAATCATCAATAAAACCCTGAGCAATCCTGGGAGCCGGCAGCACTGGAATCCTCCTCACCCCCGTGCCAGCCCCCGCTGGCTCCGGTTGTTCTCCTGGATTTTCACCTGTTGGGGTTTTGTTCCCTCCTCTTTCCGCGGCTGCTCAGGGATCCACCGAGGAGGAGCAGCACATGACGAAAGGCACCTCCTTAATCGAGAGCCAACACCACCATCTGCTGCACTGCCTGGAAAAAACAACGGTGAGTGCCGGCAAGGGCACAGCCCTGCGGGGCTGGGGGGGCTCTGAGGGACCCCTGGAACACCCCCGGGGCTGGGATCCATCCTGGGCACCCCTGGCACATCCGCTGGTACATCCCCCTGGGGCTGGGACCCATCCTGGGCTCCCTTGGCACATCCCTGTGGGGCTGGTACCCACCCTGGGCACCCCTGGAATATCCCCTGGGGCTGGGATCCATCCTGGGGACCCCCGGCCCATCCCTGTGGGGCTGGCACCCACCCTGGGCACCCCAGAACAGTCTGCAGTGGGTGAAAGGCGCTTTTACCTCATTGTCTGTGCAATGAGAGCAGGAATTCCTGTGCAGAGGGACAGAGGTGGGATGGGATCACCTGCTGCCCTCAGTCCCTGCCTGCACAGAGCCAGCAGCAGCTTCCCAGCCTCTGGGCACACATGAATGTCAGCCAGGGCTCAGGGAGATGTCAGAATGAGAAATTTCATTTTTTTCACTGCTCCTGAGAGACCCCAGGTGCATTTCCACATATCCCACACCTCTCAGAGGGGCTGAGCAGCACCAGGGCAGCTCTGCAGCCTGGGAGGAAGGTGATGCTGGGACCCCCAGGCACAGCCTGGTGCCACTGCCCAGGGCTGGGAAACAGAACATTTAGCCCTGGGATGGCCCAGAGAGGATGAACCTGTCCCAGGGTTTGAGACTGCACACAGCTCTGCTCATCTCTGGTTAAGGGCAGCTGATTTATCCTGGGAAAATGAACATTTAACCCTGGGATGGCCCAGAGAGGACGAGCCTGTCCCAGGGTGTAGAGGCTGCACACAGCTCTGCTCATCTCTGGCTGCAGCTGATTTATCCTGGGAAAATGAACATTTAACCCTGGGATGGCCCAGAGAGGGTGAGCCTGTCCCAGGGTGTAGAGGCTGCACACAGCTCTGCTCATCTCTGGCTGCAGCTGATTTATCCCACAGCCAGATTTACAGCATGATTGTTCTGTTTGCATCCTGCAAGGTATTGGGAGTGAGTTTTATTTTGCATTTATGACTAATTGTGTGTGCAGAAGTCTTTGGGAACATTTCAGATATTTGTTTGATACAGATGTTTTGCTTCCAGGTTTATAGAAAAGGTTCTGCAGTAAAGGAACACATTATCTACAGCATGATTCATTCTAGGGAGAATGGAGAGAGGTTAACACTTGAAATATTCATGCCTTTTCCTATCTGCATCCATCACCAAGTGTGCTTTTGATTTCTGACTCGCAAGGGTTTCTTTTAGACAAATCACCTTCACTTCCATAGTTTGGCTGGTGCTGGAAAAGCAGCACTTGGGCCTCAGAGAGACACGGGAGGAACCTGAGGAATAATTACAGGAGCTCTGAGGGTCCCAGGGCAAGGGCAGGAACTGATTCCTCCTGTGTCAATGGCTCCTGAATCTGTTTTACACAACTCATGCTTTATTTCAATGTTACATTACCAGCAGATATTTCACAACCTGACTCTTCAGTTTCAAACTCTCTGCCCAAACCCCTCAGAGCTGTGCCCACATTTCACAGCCCCACTTTGAGCAGAGGGGCTGCAGCAGAAGGAGCTGAAATTCTGGCCTGTGCAGGGGCAGGTCAGCATCACTGAAGGAACCAAAATGTGCCCCAATTAGTGCTGTGGTGCCCCAATTAGTGGGTGTGGTACCACAACAGACATAATAGACAATGAGTGGCAGGGACTGAAAATGTTCCAAAATTTCAGCAAACAATGGCAATAACAGTGATGCTTGAATTTGGATTAAAACTCAGAAGGAGAATCTGCACCAAGGGGTTTTCCCTCATGCTTTCCAGCCAGTTATTGCCATGGTGCAGCACCAAATCAGAGAGCAGGTTTGGATCCTGCTCTGGAATTATCAGGCCAGAAGGTTCAATGGGTTTGTGTGCAGATCCTGTACTCCGCAAAATGTATTAAAACACTGTGCAACAGGAAATTTGAATTGCAGTAAAAGCATTTTTAAACACTGAAGAGTCATTTTGTGAGCGAGTCGCAGGAATGGAATGAGGAATGTACCATGGTTGCAAGCTTGTTTCAATGGGCAATTCACCCTTCTGAAGGCAGGCGGAGGATGCTCAGAGTCCATTATTTATTGGCCTGGTGTCTGGGCTGCTGCTGGCACACACTTCCAGCTGAGTGGCTGTGAATGGCCCCAGATCTGCTGTGTCAGATGACAAAGTGACCCTGGAGTGCTTGGAGCTGCCACCACAGAGATTACTCTGTCATATTCCCACAGCAGACCGAGCTGGTTCAAACAAAGGGAGGTTTTTCTCTCCCATTCCAGCTCTGGACATTCACATGCTGTGTTTTCTCCGAGTGCTGAGTGCCCTGAGCCCAGCCCTTCAACCCAAACCCTTCTTCTGTGCTTTCACAGAGCTTGATCAAACCCCACTGGTGACACAACAGCAAAGCAATCCCAGTCTGTGCTCTGTGCATCACAGCTGGAACCTTGTTTGCCTTTGGCTCCCAAAGGACCACAGCAATAAAGCTGCTCTGGTTCTGCCTTGTTCCCATGGACAGAGCCCTCAAAAGCTGAATTGGCAGAAGGGTTCTGGTTGAGGGGCCTGAGAGGAGGTTCTGTTGCCCATTCAAACCTGAGCAGGAATGCTGAGGCCAGAGATGCAGTGCTGGGACTGAACTTGTGGATGCTGGAATGGACAATGAACTGTGTTTCTATCTTCTGTTGGCATGTTGTCCCGTAGGGATTGTCCTATCTTGTGGATGATCCCCTGTTATCTGTACGAACTTCCACCATCAAGGTATTTACTCTGTTTTCTCTGTGGTCTCTGTGACGTGTCTGGACGGTGTTTGCTTCCTTCTCCTCGTGCTCCTGTCCTGGGGGTTTGTGCACGTGGCTCCCTTTGGCTTTCCCGTGCTCCTGTTCCCTGTGGGATTGTGCTTTGTCCCAGTGGGATCTGGTGGCTGCCCTCAGCATGGTTGCTTTTGTCTCCCATCGTTTCTGCAGCCGACAGGGACTGGACGAGGTCTGTTCCCTCCACCTGGGTGTTCTCAGCCACACACGGCAGTTCTTTCTTTCAGGATTTCTGGTTCCTTACCTCAAAAGCTCTTTACAGATTCAGCTTCCTGAATTTCCTTCCGTCCCTTCACTGCAGTGTTTACTGCCCCCAGCTCATGCACTGCAGGGATTCTTTGAGCCCACCAGCCAATGCCAGGTGACCATCCAAATAAAATACAGACCTACCCCCAGGCATGAAGAAGAGGAGCATGAGCTCCTTTTGGCTTTAATAACCACATGGCACTCCAGACTTTTTGAGGCCGTTCTGGAATGCAGCGAAAGATGAAGAGAAATCGAAACCCCAGGGAGGCTGAGTGAGCAGTGATGGCCTCACGCCCTTCTCACTGCCACAGCTCCTCTCATTTATTTCCCTGCTGAGAGGGCAGGGCAGGGCAGGGCAGGGCAGGGCAGATCCTCTCCTTGGGGAGTGCCCAGCGCAGCCCTGCAGGAGTGCCCTGCCCCGTGCCCTGCCCAGCGCAGCCCCGGCTGCACCTTGAGCATCTCCCTGAGCAGGGCAGGGCCGCCACCCGTCAGTGACAGCTCCGCTCTCCCCGCAGAACCACGAGTTCATCGACGAGCAGCTGTTCGAGCAGAACTGCATGGAGAGCTCCCTGCAGAACTACCCCTCGTCCCGCAGCCCGTCCGTGTCCAGCCAGGCGGGGCTGGGCGCGTCCTGCTGCTCGCGGCGGCACAAGCGGAGCGCGGCGCTGCCCAACTGCAGCGTGCCCGCCACCCGGCTGCGGAGCATGCAGGAGCTGAGCACCATCCACATCCCGGGCAGCGAGCAGCCCTCCCTCACCGCCAGGTACCGGGCATGGCCGGGGCGTGCCCAGGGTGGGGATGGCAGGGTGGCAGGGCTGTGCCCAGCTGTGCCCGGCTGCGGAGCGTGCAGGAGCTGAGCACCATCCACATCCCGGGCAGCGAGCAGCCCTCCCTCACCGCCAGGTATGGAACTGTGCCCAGGGTGTGCCCAGGGTGGGGATGGCAGGGCTGGCAGGGCTGGTAGGACTTTGCCCAGCTGTGCCCAGCTGTGGAGCTGGAAAGACCATGTCCAGCTGTGCCAGCTGTGCCCAGCTGCAGGGCTAGCAGGGCTGACAGGCCGTACCCAGCTGTACCCAGCTGTGCCCAGCTGCAGGGCTGGCAGGACATTACCCAGCTGTGCCCAGCTGTGCCCAGCTGCAGGGCTAGCAGGGCTGACAGGCCTTACCCAGCTGTACCCAGCTGCAGGGCTGGCAGGACTTTACCCAGCTGTGCCAGCTGTGCCCAGCTGCGGGGCTGTTCTCCAGCCAGGGCAGGGGCTGGGGGCAGCCTGTTTGTCTCCCCCAGTGATGACCCAAGGGAGTTGGCTCCTGGCTGTCCGGGCAAGGAAGGAGCAGGTGAAAGCTGTCCCAGACCCCAGGGCAGCCTGGAGGGTGGGTGGCAGCAAAGGTTCTGCCCCCAGAGGGTGGCAGGCACAGAACAGGCTCCCCAGGGAATGGGCACATGGCAAAACCATCGGGCCAGCATCATCTTGGAGGGCTGAGGTGGTCCCGAGGGACACTCCACTGATTTCCATTGTCCAAAACCCTAAATTGCCACTCCAAGCATCACTGGGAAGCAAATAGGAGGAATTTCACAATGGTGCCTCAGAAGCTGTGACCTAAAAAGCCATAAAGCACACAGGTGAAGTGGCCCTTAAAAGAAAATTATTAAAAATTCATTTTATACATAAATTGCTGAAGAAGAATCATTTATTCACCATATAATTCCTGCAAATATTAAATTACTTTCTAAATCCCCCTCAGCCCATTAAGTTTTTTGTGCACCAGGGCTGGTTTTGAATGTCCCATTCCTCTTCTCCCCACTCCTATCAAAGGGACATACAAACCCAAACAAAGCTGCCTTCAAGGCAGCAAGTGATTACTTGGTGCCAGGAGGGCATTTCAGAGCATGAATTATGAATGAGTAAGCACAAAACAAGCCTCCAGCTATTCCAGTTTCAATATGACAATATTTTAAACCAGCACCTGAAGCAGTAATTCAGGGGAATGTCAACTGTTCTGGCTGTTAAGTCAGATGCTGGTGATATTTTAAATGTCAACACTTATTTCACTTGCTTACCAAACTGGGCAAGGATGAGAGAGAAAAAAAAGCTTTTCAGTTGTTTTTTGTGAGGAATGTGACCAGCTGGGTGTGCTGGTTACCCCTGGCACAGGGCCCAGGCCCTGGGGCTGCCCCATTCAAGGCATTGGGGTGGGATCTGTTCCTGGATGTTTGGGGGATCTCAAACCATCCCCGGGTGAGTCACTCGAGGGAACAGCAGCAGCTCCCGACTGGGAGCTTTCCATGCTGAAAGGACAGGCCTTGTGTGGAAAATGAACACGTTGGGCTGCTAATAGCAGACTCCGGTAGCTGTGCAGATGCACAGAAATCAACCTATCATTTTCCCCCTGTAATTAATTATAGGATGCAATTGATGCAGATCTAATAAGAATGCTCCCAGCTGTCACATCCTTGAAACTACTGCAGAGAGAAATAAAATAGAAAGGATCAAGGGACGGTGAATATGAAAGAGGTATTTGAAATGCAAGAAAGGCAACATCTTTCTCAGAAAGAACTACCTGTGCTCTGAAAAGATGCACTACCCAGGCCAGTGTATTTAGATGTCCTTTTAAATAAACTAGAATTATGCAAGAAGGAAATGGAAACGGAGCAATTTGCCCTGTGAGGAGCTGTCTCCTAACCAGGGGGAACATTACCAGAGCTCAGTGTAATCTGTGTAGACATAAATGGTGCCTTGCAGGAACGGGGGGAGGTTTAAATGGAGCCTTTGAATATTTCAGCTGAATAAGATCCTGATTAAGAACCACGACCGTCCCCATCCTTTCTAGTGCCTCATTTTGAGGACCAAGCCAAGCGCTAAATTTGTTTTGCAGCCGCTCCAGCCTCAACATGAAGTCGGACGACGGGCTGCGGCCGAACTGCAAGGCCGGGCAGATCACCACGGCCATCATCAGCATCCCCACGCC